TAATAAATCTAATTAGTCATTAACTTTATGTTTGCTTTGTCATTAAGGGTAGTAAAAATTTCAATATATAATTAAACATAAGTAAAAAACGAATTTCAATGATTTTAGATTTATTTTAATCTAAAATTATTTTATATTGGGTTATAAAATCTTTATCAACCTTGAAATATAATTATATTTTTAGTAATATATCATTAATTATAAATTAATTCGTTAGTTGATAATCATCATTATTTTTTTATATTATGTCTTTATCAACATTGAAAAATAATTATATTTAAAATAATTATATTTGTTAATATATAATTAATTCTAAATTAAAAACGAATTTCATGAATTTGATAATTATCATTATCTAATTTTTTATATTGTGTTATAAGTATTTATTAACCTTGAAAATAATTATATTTGTTAATATATATTTAATTATGAAAAAATTAATCCGCAAAGAATTTATGTATAGATAGTTTACATTACTAAAGATAATTTTATTATACTTTTTTGTTATGTCTAAACATGATATTAATTTATTACTAAATATTTTAAATTTATGAGTATTTTCACATTTAACTTGTGTAATGACAATTATTTATATGATGAATTTTTTTATATATAGAAATAATTTGTTTAGATTATTATTAAATATTTTGAGTGTATGAACAATAATTTATTAGAATCTACTTAAATTGATTATATTTGTTTATAGATATTAGAAAATTCTTAAGCCCGCAAGTGCGGGCAAAACACCTAGTTTAATTAAAGTTGTAATTAAATATCCAGGGATACATATAATTCTTATTTAAAATCTAATATAATAAATTAAGTTGATTAAGATTACAGGTTATCTATAGAGATATCTTACCTTAAGTTATCTATAGAAATAAGATTTTAGTGTATATCTTGCCTTTAGTAAAAGTGAAATTCCCCTCCTTTTTTTTCACATATTCTCTTACAAATAAAGAATTGCCCCATCATTTTTCGTTCACACATCCCAATAATTCATAAATTGTTTGAATCTTCATCAAGGTGTTTTTGAGGTTTTCAATCTTCATGGAGCCTAAGATAATTGACTTTGAGCAAGGATGGGACTATATAGAAACTGGTATCACTGCGCTGAAACGGCACTCTGAAAGTCTTCCTGTGCCTAAATTTACACTTGAACAGTATTGTGATCTTTACACGGCTGTCTACAAGATGTGCGTCCAGAAATCTCCTTATGATTTCTCGTCGCAGCTTTATCAAAAGTGTTGTGAAACAATGGAGGAATATATGAACTCAACGGTCTTGCCTGCTCTGAATGAGAAGCTTGGCGATGAATACATGCTGCTGCGAGAGTTGGTTGAAAGGTGGTCTAACTATAAGGTATTGGTTCGAGCCCTATCTCATATCTTCTTTTATCTTCAACGTTTCTTCATTGTTCGAGAATCACTCCCATCAATCGAAACGGTTGGCATGGGCTACTTCCGTGACCTGGTTTATAACAAGCTTCAAAGCAAGGTTAGAGAAGCTGTACTAGCACTAGTTGATAAAGAGCGAGAAGGTGAGGATATTGATAGGAAGGTAACGAAAAGAGTATTAGAGTTTTACATAGAGATCGGAATGGAAAGATACGAGCAAGATTTCGAGAGCTTTATGCTTAAAGACACAGCGTCTTACTATTCTCGCAAGGCATCAAGTTGGATTCAAGAAGATGATTCTATAAATGATTATATTTTCAAATCTGAACAGTGTCTACAAAAGGAGAAGGAGAGAGTGAGTCATTACCTTCACTTTAGCAGTGAGCCAAAACTGGTTAAGGTAGTGGAACATGAGCTGTTTGTTGTTCATGAAAATCAGATTCTAGAAAAAACGCACGCTGAAAAGCAAATCGGCTTGGGACCTCTGGCAAAGATATTCAAGCAACATGTCGAAGACACAACTATAAATGCCAAGGAACAGGTTCTTATCAGAAAAGTAATTGAGTTACATGAAGTGTACATGGTCACTGAGTGTTTCCAGAGCCACACCCTCTTTCACAAAGATTTGAAAAGGGCAGTCGCTGGAAGTGATGCATTACTGGCAACGTTTTGCGACAGAATTATCTTGAAGAAATGGGGAAGTGAGGAGCTGAGTGAAGAAGATATTGAGAAGGTGGTGATGTTCCTTGCTTATATAAGTGATGAAAAAGATATTTTTGCGGAGTTTTATAGGAAGAAGCTGGCACTTAGGCTCTTGTTGAATCGCGGTGTTAGTGATGATCATGAGAGAAGTATCCTTACAAAGCTAAAGCAACAAAACCGTGGACAGTTTACTTTTAAGATGGAGAGAATGATAAATGATTTAACATTGTCAAGAGAAAACCAAAACAGCTTCAAGGAGTATGTAGCAAAACCAGGGATTGGTTTGACAGTCACAGTTCTTACCAGTGGTATTTGGCCAAGTTACAAAACGTTTGGAATTAATCTACCTAATGAAATGGTCAAGTGTGTTGAAGTTTTCAAAGAGTTTTATGAAACGAAAACTAAAGGAAGGAAACTTACATGGATTCATTCACTAGGAACTTGTCACGTCAATGGGAAGTTTGATCAAAAGTCCATTGAACTGATTGTGTCTACTCACCAGGCTGTTGTGCTTCTACTTTTCAACACAAAAGACAAACTGAGCTACAATGACATCCAAACTCAACTCAACGTAGGCCATGAAGATCTAGTGTGGTTGCTTTATTCCTTGTCATGTGGTAAATACAAGATTCTTATCAAGGAGCCAGCCACAGAGACTGTTTCCAGGACTGATGTTTTTGAATTCAACTCCAAATTCACCGCTAGAATGTGTAGAGTAAAGATCCCTCTCCCTCATGTTAATGACAAGAAGAAAGTCATTGAAGATGTCGATAAAGACAGGCGCTATGCGATTGATGCTACCATTGTGAGGATCATGAAGGGAAAGAAAGCATTGGGACTTCAACAACTTGTTTCTGAGTGTGTCCAGCAACTTAACCAGATGTTCAAGCCTGATATTAAAACAATTAAAATGCGTATTGAGGATTTAATAACCAGAGATTATTTGGAGAGGGACAGGGAGAATCCTAACATGTTTAGGTACTTAGCTTAGGGAAGAAAGCATATATATATTGCAGAATCCATATCATGGATTCTATCTTATTACGCCTTGTTTTTCAGTTCTGTTTTTCATAAAACTCGTCTTATGGTTTTTGTTTGTTTCTTGGATATGATTGGAGATTGGGGAGCTTGTGTAATAAGATTAGATCAAACTTTCAATTTGCTTTCATTTTGAATATCGCCCAATATTTGAGAGAATTGTCCATTTTATTTTAATAACAAAAATAAGTTACATAAAAACTCTTATAATATATAATGACTTCACGGCAACTATATATAAATTGTGTAGGTTGTGTTTTTCTATATTTTAGGTGTTGGATTCAAATTGATAAATATAGTTCATCGGATTTGGTTCTCTTTATAAACTAGGTGTTTTTCCCGCAAATGCGGACATAGTTTTCTAACGAATGTTTATTAATTTATGTTTTATTAATTAAAAAAAAACAAAATAAGTTATGATCTATGTTTTTAAAAATAATTAGAAATGACAACACCGACATAACATAATATTTTAAAATATATATATTTATACAAATATTTTACTTGATTTATATTTAATTATAATTTGTAATATAAAAATATATTTGCAAGATAATAATATAATATATATATATATAAAGTATCTTATTTTCTAAAAATATAATACTATTAATAAAAATTAATTTTTATTTATTAAAAATTATATATGAAATTATTAAAAACATATACAAAGACGTAAAACTACCTAAATCATGGAAAAATTAAAAATCAGCAAATTCACTTAGATTTTATAATAGAAAATATACTTTTAAGATAACAATACAATACGTAAGAGTTATATTGTTTTCTAAAATTTAATATTTTTAATATAAATTAGTTTTATCATATAATAAATTAGATATTAAAATATTAAAACATGATAAATAACCAAAATTATGTATATTATGGAGAAATTGAGAAATCAGCATTGTTTGATTTATATTTAATTAGAACTTTTATATATTAATTTTTATAATAAAAATATTTTTTCAAGACAAAATATAAAACATAAAGATTATCTTATTTCTTAAAAAAAAAAATATATATATATATTAATGTAAATTCATTTTTTATATAATAAATTATATATGAATTTATTAAAAATATGAAAATAAGCAAAATTACCTAAGATCATGTTAAAGTTAACGACTAAACAAATTTACTTCTCAAATAATAATATTGATTAATCTCAAAAGAAATAAGAAACCCCTAAATAATTAGTTCCCCATAACGAACGAATACAAAACATTTTATTCAGATTTATTTACAACAGATGGACTGTTTTTTCTATCAATTCGTTGTTGCAATCTCTGGCGTGGACTTTGTGCCCTGATCAGCGACAAGACAAGCACTCTATTTGTGCTAAATCCAGATTTAAGTGATAAAAAAAAATTATTCTTACCACTTTGTTTTGGAAACAATTGCCATAAAAACCACCATGGAAATAGTATACTAGAGTCATGACTGGGAAGCAATTTCTTTTTTTATATGGTAATATAATTAGAATCATTGAAAATTGGCAATTCGAGTTTTATTCCATTTGATTAAATCAGTATATTCGGTTCTTTATCGATGGATATCTATAGATCTAAACTCGAAGGTGGTCACTGTTATACAACAAAGAAAACAAAGAATAATTTGGAGTTTTATCGCATGGTTGATATCCAAATATAAAAAAATCGCATCAAGACAGTTTCTTCATATTTTATTTTATGTGTTGTAATATTTCTGCTAATTTTATTCACAGTTGGAAGTATCTATGTTATCTCATAAGTATTGATACATTTTATATAAATAAAATTATTGCTAAATAAAACAAAACATTCTAGTTTAATCAAATCACTTGCACCCTTTTTATATATTAAGAACTTATTCATTTTACTCGCTGCCGACGAAAAAGAATATACTCAAAAGAAAAGGGGCATAACCGTCATTTCTCATCTACTCCTTCCCTGAATAGAAGGGAGAGTCAATCATATGGCGATACAGTCCCAAGCCTTTGTGATCCTGAGCCATCGTAGAGAGAGAGAGAGAGAGATCAGAGATCTAAATGGCGGCGATAACAACGGCAGTGATCGCAATAGCTGGGATCATACTTGGATGGATAACGATAGAGATGGCTTGTAAGCCTTGTCTTGAGCAAGGCCGTGAAGCCATCGACAGATCTCTCAACCCCGATTACGATCCCGACGACGAAGACGTCGATGCTTCCTCCGCCTCTCGCGCTCCTCTCCTCACCAATCTTCCTCCCGATATCCCCGATCCCTCCGCTGATGATCCCTCCACCGCGATCAAATCAGTCTGATCGGTTCGGTCCTTAAATTTTTTGTTCGTTTTTTTTTGGTTTTGTATTTATTGTCAGAGTTGCTCTCATCCCTTGTGTAAACCTCTCTTGTCTCTAATAATCGATCTCGTGTTTGTGCTATTTCTATTACAATGCTTGTGTTTTTTACTCTTTACCGAAACATTACTTTTGAAACAAAATTTGATTGGATAGACAAAGACCTTGATGAAACTAGTTAAGATCTAACCACACGATTAAGGGTTCTAGGTTCTTGTTTGTGGGAAGAATTGTGTGTTCTTCCTCGTTGTTACATCGAACCTTGGACACTGTAGAGGAGGAGATCCTATCAAATTGGTTGACCTGGGGACACACTGCCATTACCAATCACGATCGTAAGTTGAAAAGGCTTAATAAGCCCATTAGTATTGGGTTTAATTATAATGGGCCTTAAATAAATGTGCACATCCTATTGCCCATATATTTTTATTCAAATCTATTGGTGGCAATTCGAAACTTACCATCTTGTAGCAACACGTCCATAAATCCTTGCTGTTACTCATTCTTTAAACTTTCAAGAACCAACATAGTCAGAGTCTCCTGACATTAGAAACACTCTAGGAATATTATAGCATAGCTCTTTCTTCCTCGTGTCTCAGGAATCAGAATAGCATAAAGTCCTCTTGTCTTGCAGAGAGGCAACATACTGTATATCAGAGCAATGGAAGCAAAGATATTCACAGGTTCTACAGAATCTCTAGCTTGGATATTATTGTAAATCCTGCATCAAACCGATGCTCAGGTTTTCTTGTCTTCTGATAACTTGACCATGCCATGCTACCTTCAACGGAGGTTACTGCAGGATGGCCAGGAGAGAAAAAACCAAGAGAAAAGAAATAACCCCACCCAAAAACAAGAAACTCTAAGGTCGAAACCACAACTCTAAGCTTGTCTTGTGCTAAACCAAGTTACTAGACCTTTCTCTAAATAGTCTTGACCCTGTCCTTGAACAAGCAAGAGCTTCAGCCTGATCATCTTGTACCAATGTATCTCGTTATACAACTTGCAGCCTGAGCTCGTTCTCCATGTCTTCTAGCGTTTCTTTCTCTCCAAATAGCATGAACCGTGGCCTGCAAGGTGTATCTAACGAGGAACATCATCGTTGCATTCCATCTTGAACTTGAAATAATCTCAATTATTTCATCCCAATCAGTGGTGAAACTCCCTTGCACTATACCTCCCACAAGAGTACGTCAGATCTGCATTGTGTAAGAGCAGCTAAAGAAAAGGTGATGACACGTCTCAGTTTCTTCATTGCAAAATACACAAGCCGGATTAATATTTATACTCCATCTCTGCATTCTGTCACACGTCTGAAGCCTCTTTCGAACCGCAACCCATAACAAAAAAGCATACTTTGGAACCATATACCCCTGCTCCAAATGCAGTTTCGCTGAGAATTAACCTGTCTCACTAGATTCCAGGTCTTCTTGGCAGAGAATTTACCATCAAAGACCCCTTCCTTCTGCTTCCAAAGAGGAATATCCTTCGCTTCACTCTCCCTATCTCTTAACTTCGCGATCTCCTCTGTCCTCCGTGCAACAACTTTACTGCTCTTAGCAGCTCCAAATTGTCAAACGTAGTTGAAGGGAGGAAGTATATCATGTGAAATAGAAGTTAATATCACCATGAGTCTATATATCTAAAGTATCTTAGGTCCTTTTCACATAACATGAGAGCTAGCCTGAAGCTAACTTTGTTGGATTCCTTGTGAATCAGGATGGATATAATCAAAAGGAGCTCTAACGCGCAACCCATATTGTTGAGAAATTCTGGTTAATGTTATATCTTCTTCAGGTAGAGCAACACAAACATCAAACTTGAATAAAACAGAAGAGAACAGTTTTCTTCAGGAAACGATAATCAGTTTTTTGTTGTTGTTATCTTTACTATGTGAGTTATCTATAGTGAAAACTTTTGAGCTATGGTAAACGTATATATCCCATTTTCATGGTTCTGCAGCTTCTTACTTGTAATGTTGTTGTTGAGCGTGACCAAGCAGATCAAATCCCCAATGAAGACTCAAAAAAGGAAGACTATCTTCGATATTGATGAAAAGGAGGCACAACTCATTGACAATGAAGATCTGAAAAGCAAATTGCAGAAACCTGTAACCATGTCCCCACCTATGAACTGATCATCTTTGTTGGCCCGTTCCTTTTTAATACTCAAGAATGCTGAGAAAGATACCGAGGAGCTTTAAAATGTCATTCAAAGTGTTGAACAACAAATAATAAATCATTATTTTAGTTTTATTATTTTTAAAATGTCAAATTTGCAAAACTAAATTTGAAAACATAAAAATCCCTACAAAATAAGGTAAATTAACAAAACAAAATCATTAAAAATAATCATCTTGATATATATACTAATAGGTGTCTTCCTGCACCATGTGCGGTTTTAAATTTTTTAAATGTTAAATTATATCTAAAATGAAATTTATTAATATTATATATTTTATTATTTTGACTAACATTTAATATAAGTTTAATTTAACTAAGCACAAAAAGAAGGAAAAAATAAATTTATTTATTTTAAATTATATTTAAGAATGTATAGAGAAATTCCCTAGGATATACCTAAAAAAGTTTTTATCACAAATATAGATCTTAAAAATAAAAAAACCAAAATAAACTTAATTGTTTTATCAAAAATAAGTAAATATACACTTATATCCATTGGATAACTAATTTCAGACATTTTTGTTTAGAGTTGAGGAGTGGAGTTTGGGGATATGATTTTTTTCTCTAAAAAGAACTTAAAACGAAAAAATAAAAAAAATGATATTTTGGTCATTTTAGATTTTGAAGTCTATTTTAACATAAGAACTTAAAAATGTCTATTTGACAGAATTGCCCCAATATATATGTAATATATTTAAAACCCGAATATTAGAATATTTTTTAATTTATTTATTTTGGTTAAATGTATTAAATCAACTTGTATATAATTACTAAGAAAATTCATATAAAATTTTATAGTTATTAAAAATTATAAATAAAAATATTTATTAAATTTTTCGATATCTAAAAGAAACTATGATATTACTATTAAAAATTATTAATTTTTTTTAAAAAGATGTAGAAAATTTTGAAAATATTAGTAATAAAAAATTTATAATTATAAAAGTAAAATTAAATAACATTTCGTAATTTATAATGCATATTTCGGTATATTTATTTTTAGTGATGATTTGATTTATGAGTTTTTACCATATTTTAAAAAAATTTATCAAAAATATAAATCAACATTAAATGTAATGTACCAGTTATTGATATATTCTCTAAAGTTTACCAAAAATATATATCAGCAATAAATGTAATTGTTCATGTCATATTTAATTATAAATCATGTCATCAATCTTAGTAGTTATGTCATCATATTTTTGTAAAAAAATAATTGTAGAGATGACATGTGGCAAATCACTTCGAAAATAATATATATGGGATTTTAAAATTTTAACATATCAGAGTTTAATATTTTAAAATATATATAACATAAGAAGTTAGTTTACAAATTATTTTAAAAGTCAATAAAATAAAATAAATATTAATAAAATAAAAACATTTAAAAATTTCAATGGAAAATAAATTATTTTGGAAAATTAACATAAAATTAAAAAAAGTTCTTTAAAGGACACATAAAATTAAAGATAAAAATTAGAATAATTTGAATGACATAGGATTTAAAAGTTGAAACTAAAAAATGATCAATGTGCTTAATGATTTATAGTGTGCATGTAAAGTATTCAATTTAGTATATTGAGCTTATGGACTCAAAAAAGAGCTTATTCAAAAACCACTATGAGAAGATTTAAACTCATATAAAATTGAAAACTAAACATTATTAGATAATTATAACAACCTAATTAACACAAGAATGAAAATGAAAATAAATTAACGATTGAGTCTTTCACCCAAAATGTGTGTTTTGTAAAAAAAAAAGATTAAGGTCTTAAGTCTAAAAATAAATATTATGTAGCTCCTTAAGAAATAATTAACCTGATATGTATGCTAATTATTTGAAAATTAACAATAATTAGATTAATAGAAAATATGTCTTAAAATATGTTAGAACATACAGTATCATATATATCAAATTAAATATACAATTTCTAACATAAAAAATGAAAATCAGACTATATCCTCCAACTTTACTTATGAAACATTAAGCGGTCAAAATGAATCCAATAGATAATTTAACTCAACGAGAATAAGAATTATATATGTTGCTTCGATTTACAAAAAGAATTACGGGGGAGGAGGGGGATGTTCACCACTTGGAAATTAACCGACATATATTAGCAATGAATAGTTCAAAACTGGAAAAATTATACTATATCAGTTTTTTCCATCAATACTACTATATCATATCCAATTAGTTTTTTTCGTTTATGCTCTTGAAAATTTTGTGTTTCTATTCTTAGTTAATTCGAGTCTGCATAGTCTTTTGACTCTTACATATGTTTAGATTATTTCTATTCTTGTGGAAGATTATTGAAACTATTTTTTTACAAGCTTATTTATGTATGAATATAATTTATATAAGCTTATTGGATTGAGTGAAAACTAATTTAATGTGATATTAATGTTGTACTTAATATGGAGAAAGACAACCACATTTTACAAATCCATAGGCTGAGTAAAATGTTGGACTTGTTTTTGGACAATGAAAAAGTATTTTACCAAGTTCATAATTTTTTTGGTAAAAAAAAATAATTTGTCAACAAACAAACTTAAATTAGCTGAGGACTATTTTAAGTTTGTTTGTTGACAAATTAATTAAGCTAAAACCAATTAATATTAAGTTATCCAATTAATGACTAAGATAAGCAATTTTAGTGACAAATGGCAAAGGTAAGTACAATTGAGGACTAATTAAAGTTTGTTTGTTGACAAAATAATTAAGCTAAATAAATTTAGTAAATAAGTTATCCAATTAATATTAAGTTATCCAATTAATGACTAAGATAAGCAATTAAGTGACAAATGGAAAGGTAAGTACAATTGGTAATAATCAAAATAAATTTTGTGTCAAATGACTAAATCTTAGCAAATTTAATGATAAATATCATAATACTTTATGACTAAATACTTTATGACTAAACTTTGTGAATCTCTATTATAAATAGACATCTTCTCTCTCCGTTCAAAAAATACACAAGATACATTTATT